GTTTAAGATGCGTATATTGAGGTGGTGAGAGAAGCGAAGGCATTCCTCGATAGTCGGAAGTTACCCATCAAGCCGGAGGCATTAAGACGACAAGAGCAGGAATATGCACGACTGGAACAGCAGAGATTGTTCCAGAAACATCAAGAAGCAGCCAGAAAGCAAGAGAAAGAACGTATTAGAATGGAACAAGAAAGAATGTTCCAGGAACAGCAAGAAGCAGCCATGAAGCTAATGGCAGAGGCAGATGCCATGCAGAAGAAGGCCGAGCAAGCAGCGAAGCTAGAGGCCGTGGAACGACAAAGACAAGAAGAGCTAAAGTTGCTGTTGGAGCAGAAGGCTTGGGTGATAAAGGATAAGCTAGAGAGCGAAGGTCAAGCTGAATACGGTGATCGCTTATGCGTTGATGAAATGGGTTTAGCAGAGCGAATCATAGTGAAACACGTGCAGATGCAACGCTACGAGAAAGAATTAACCCAAATCACGAGAGATGATACACTGAACAGGTCGAGTTCGCTGAGGAAGCTAACACCTGTGCTGAGTTCGGACGGGCTGCTTCGTGTAGGTGGGAGGCTCAAACAAGCAGGCATGGATATAGAATTTAAGCACCCATGTACAATTCCTCACGATCACCAATTAGTAATGCTTATCGTGAAGGATATACATGATATAGCTCACCTAGGGACAGAGTGGGTACTGGGAAATGTGAGAGCTAAGTTTTGGATCACAAAGGCGAGGTCAGTCGTCAAGAAAGATCAGGACGTGTTTGACATGCCGAAAGCTTTATGCATCGCCTTGTCAGCAAAAGATGGCTGATTTACCTCCTGAAAGGCTAGAACATAGCAAGCCACCGTTTACTTACGTAGGATTAGATTGTTTTGGACCTTTCTACGTGAAGCTGGGCAGATCAGAGGTAAAGAGATATGGGTGTGTGTTCACATGCCTCACCACACGTGCCGTGCACATAGAGAAGTTAAACAGCTTGGAAACTGACGCGTTCCTTAACGGATTTAGAAGGTTCATGTCGAGAAGAGGTCAGCCTGAAAAGGTTTGGTCTGAGAACGGGACGAACTTTACTGGCGGTCAAGCTGAGCTTTCAAGAAGCATGAGCCAACTAAATAAGGATATGATTTACTCGCACTGTGCGAGAAAGGATATCGTGTGGGTTTTTAATCCTCCACATGCATCGCATATGGGTGGCATTTGGGAACGTATGATTCGTTCCATCAGGAAGGTGCTCAATGCCTTGCTGCGCGGGAATCACAGACTGACGGACGAAGTGCTGGAGACGCTATTCTGCGAAGTAGCAAACATGATCAACAGTCGGCCTATCACCAAGAGCAGCGATGATGTAAGGTGATTCGAGAGTGCTTACGCCTAACCATCTTTTATTGCTACGGGATGGCGCTACGTTACCCCCCGGCAAGTTCGGATCCAGCGGCATGTATCCTAGGCGTTGGCGTCACGTACAGCATCTCGCGGGTCAGTTCTGGCGCAAGTGGGTGAAAGAATACCTGCCAGAGCTGCAGCGTAGAAGCAAGTGGATTGTGCAAAGCAGGAACATCAAGATAGGTGATTTAGTGCTGGTGGTGAACGAAAACACCCCAAGAGGACTACGGCCGCTTGGCCTCGTGATAGATGTGAATAAGGGCAGAGACGGTCTCGTCAGATCAGCCAAAGTGAAAACCAAAGCGACGCGAATCGTCCCCCCGATCTCAAAGATTGTGCTACTAGAGGGCTCTTCCTAAGTTTACTTTGTTGAACGTATAGTTCAAGGTGGGGAGTGTTATCTCTTCTCATCATTTCTGTTAAGCGTGTCATACTGTAGTATTTCTAGCACTGTTCAGTTCTTGTTTTGCACGGTATTCAAGCGGTTCAGCTAGACTGCTGTTTGGCTCGTTTACATTATGTTTTAGTCATGTGACTCGCGGGTTTCCTTGTCGCGGTATAAAAGCGTCTGTTGTGCGTGGCGCAGGCCCTTTTGCTGCTTGAGCCGTATTTATACGTTCGCGTGCGCTCGCGCATTTCTTCCACGATGCACCATACATTTTTTACCTGCACGTGTGCAGCTACGCACGTGTTGAGTAATAAATTTGGAGATATCAAAAAGATGCCGAGTTGAGTATTGATTATCACGCACGGAACGTAACAGTAAAAAATGTATGGTGCATCGTGGAAGAAATGCGCGAGCGCAAGCGAACGTATAAATACGGCTCAAGCAGCAAAAGGGGGCCGCGCCACGCACAACAGACGCTTATGGCAAAATAAACTCTAGTTCCTCCCATTTCACTGCACGTTGTCTTATAAAAGGTATTTTGAAAATACCTCCAATGTTGTTGAAATTCTCCGATGTTGTTGACAGTTTCCCCAATTCCCAACAACCATGCAGCGGTGCTGGCGTACAGCGGTACGGGCGCAGCAAAGATAAAAACATGTGACGTCACGTCACCACTTCGAGGATATTTTGTTTGGCAAACAGTCGCGTTTGCGCCAGAATGCTAGTTTTCTCACCTCTTTCTTTGTGGTTTTAAGCAAACGCGCAGTGAAATGGAGCAACTAGAGTTTATTTTGTCATAAGGTAGTGTGATTATGCATGACACGAAGTATTTGCTAGTCTAGTACTGGAGAAATTAGCGTTTGGATGCGCATTGTGAGCCTTTAAGGATACTGTTAGGGTTACGGATGGGTAACACTCTAAGGGCATGCAACATAACTGCTCATCAAATTCAATCAAACTCATATCCATAACATAAGAGAGATGTCTCTCTATGCTATCGATGGAAAAAATTTATTACAAATTCGTCGCTAATTAAGTGAAGGCAAAAATTGTGAATTTATACAAAAATGTTTTTTTTGTTATTTCTCAGAAACAGCAGAGTTGGGACCTAAACTTTTAACCATAAGTTGTTCATAATATGAACAAAAAAAGGGTCCCTGGAATTTTTTTTAAATGCTTTAATTTAGGAAATAAGTTGAAAAGATGTAGGAAAATTTAGGATTAGGCTTGATTTTCAGGAAACGGTCGCTTAGTTCCTTGAAAATTTACACAGCACCATGTTTACTAGTATATGTGTAAATGAATGTACTTGTGTTAAATCTGGAAATTGAAAAAAGAAAAAAAAAGTTAGAGTTTAAGAGTTTTACTTGGTCGTCCGATTTTCTACTCTATTAATCAACTCGGCAGCCCAAATGAGTAATGATCGACGAACTCGATTAATCGAAACACCACTAACTTGTACATATAATAAGACGTACGTTATCTGTGCTTGCAGGCCAAATCCTGTGAGGATTCTCACTGGTTATGGTGCCAATATAAGCTTAACTGACTCTGTTCATGGCAACACAGCTCTCCACTGGGGAGCCACGATAGGCAATTATGCTGTTCCCCCACTCCTGCTGGAGCTAGGGGCTAATCTAGCTCAAAGAAATGCACAGGTGAGCTAATGCTATGTAGTGGTTACTGCTCGTGCTCAGTTATACCCAGACCTCGTATATCGATTGTCACATGAGGTCTCTACATGATTAGGGCGAGACTGCGCTGGACATAGCCAGAGAAGAGAAGAACCCATGGGTTGTGGAGACTTTAACAACCGAATGGGCAGACAAGGGGCTGGATAATCCAAACTTTCTCCTTCGATTTACTAGGAATAAAGTGAGTATGACCGTTTCTTAAACGTTTTCCCGCATGTTTCTAATGGCATATTCTCATGTGTTGCCTCTTGTCGCAGTGTTAATTTGATCGATGTGTAATTGTGTGTCCGAATTATTACCATAGAAATAATATACTAGCTGGACTAGAACACTGATTCGCTGTAGTGTTAGCCATGTGTTTAACAAATGACGCCTAAAGTCGAAAAGTATGCTCGCGATGATAACTGATACATGTGATTTTGTTGCAGAGCGTGCGTCTGGCAGTGATGTGGTTGCTGCCGCTAGTCTATCAGCTGATTATTGCAAGTGTACTACAGAGCTCCGAGTCATGGTGGATCAAAGGCCTGCTGCTGTTCTGCCTGTGTTCCATCGGCGGAGGGTGTCGTCAGTAAGTCTGTCCTTCACCACTGCTGCTCCAAGGTCACGTACTTTGCCACCACTGTCACGTCCATGCTATCCCCCTCGTGGCTCAACATTCAGCCTCTTCATTCTTTCACAAAAATAGTGGTTTCATGACAGGCTGCATCATTTTCCCTTCAACAGTGCTAATATAGTGTTAATCGTTTTTATTTGACTGACATAATGATATATTTCGGTTCTGGGTCTGGTTCTCATACATGACTTTCGACCATTATTGCACTTTTCCAGGTTCCTTACAGATGACCGGATTGTTACCGTATTCCCACTCGCTGTATTTTTATGGACAGCATTGGTCAAATATGGCATCTATTTCTGCTTACTTTGGCCTTATATCCTTTTTACATAGTTGAAATTTTTTATAAAATGATATGAATGTAATTTCGTAACACTAGTATATATAGTCAGTCATCGTCTTTTTTGTATTTTTGTATTTTTAGCTCATCTGACATAGTCAGATGCAGCTTGTAGAATCGCATGATCGTCCGTCCGTCCGTCCGGTTTCCTCTGTCCGTCCTCACGACTGCCGCGTCAACGTTGGGCACAAATCTTAACCGCTCGATCGTACGGTCACGATGATTCGTGGTCGTCTGCGGGGGATCGTCAAAACGAGTTGGATTCGAGCTGGGGGTCAAAGGTCAAAGTCAAGAGGTGCTAAAAGAAGGAGGAAACATCATCTCCGTCTAACGTTAAGGTATACGGAGGAAACTGCAGCGAATTGGGCGGGCACAAAATCTAAACGGCATCGACCCCTAGCTGTGAAGGCGTGTATAGCATCATGGTAGGAAAAGCCATCACTGGCCGAAATTGGAGGTCACAGGTCAAAGGTCAATGGGCACAGGGCAGATTTTTAGACATTTTCTGAGGACAATTGCGTCTGACGGACGCGATTGAAAACTTTTTGTGTTCCAGCGGTGACCTAGCATTTTTTAGGCTTTATTGAAGGACGACATGGAAATGTCCCTTCATCGCTGACATGCCGAAGAGTAAGTGTCGCTGATAACCTTTGACCCTCAAGAGGAGGGTTAAACATGGTTTGTTGACTGTTAACAAACGAGTGAACTGCTTTTGCTATAGAGCCCGCCTCCGCACACCCTCCCCTTCCCTCCCACACCTGTCCCCCTCCCGCCCCTTCCCCCACTCTCCCCACCCCCTCCCCCCACCTCCCCCTACCTCCATCTGCGCATAGTGGGCGTGTGCCTAACAATGAATTGTACGCAACGCCGTGTCTGCATATCTGCGCCTAACAAATGTGGTACTACGCACGACTGAAATTTTACGTTTATAATCGTAGCAACAGACCTCAGATGAGCCCAGACGCTCTGCGGCTCTTGTTTATATTGTCAGATTTGAGTCATTTACTATGAACACATTTTGTACACAGCATAATAATTCATAAGTATCTTGATGTTCCAAGTTAAAAGATCTCTGCTGAATGTAAAGGGAATGAATGTATTGGTTGCTGTATTTCCTTAAGTGAAGTCACATTTTCACAGTACGGGAGACCTGGTGGTTGTCACTGCATGTTCAGCTAGTGCGATATACAGTTTCTATCTCTGTTATGCATCTGACCCTGGTGTCATCAAGCAGAATCAAGTGTCTCGCGATAGGGTAAGTATATGGATCATGTACCATAGCTGAGTGCTGTATGGTGGATCATGTGCCATAGCTGAGTGCTACACCCATGGGTGATCGTGCTCATTTTATCAGTGATAGCATTGTAGGACCGTGGGATCCCCGAAAACTATTATTTTACACACCGCCTATGTAATCAACGAAAGGAACAGGGTACAGCTCTATCGGCCACTAACCACATGCTTAGGGGCCCTAAATAAATTGGCATTGACAGTAGACGGTCACCGACCGAGGTCGCCTCCGAGTTTGCCGGCCAGTTGTCATTAAGGAAGCACCTTAATGACAGGTGATCGCGACACGGCCGGGGTACAACGACCTTCGACAATAACCGCCACAACGTGGCGAGGTCGAGAGAGACGGATAAAAGGATAGGGTTTTCGGGTAGAGGGAGAGAGGCCGACGTATAGCTGACGGGTATGTGTGCATCGTTCTGATCTGTGTTTACAATAAAGCTATAAGTGTTGTTTACCGTTTACATCACTCGTTACTCCGACTATCTACAGTCTACAGTCTACGAACGTATATTCCACGCTACAGCATTATGGATTCGCAGGTGAAGCTGCAATCTAAATAAGTTGTAATGAGAGAGGCATTATCACTAGAGATTTTATTACCAGATCATAGTAAAAAGTTTAAATTTTCTGACATCATACTATATGGGCTTTGTCTGCAATGAGTTGTTCTAACTTCTAATGCTAACACTGTTGCTTTCAGACCAAAGAAATAATATCTAGATAGACTAGACATCTCTATATATTTCAATGTTTCAGACCATCATTGAGCTAGCCGAACAAGGAACGCTGGATGCCACCACACTGTGTCCTACCTGCATTGTGCGGCGCCCTCTACGCTCGAAACACTGCAGCATATGTAATCGCTGCATAGCAAAGTACGATCACCACTGTCCGTGGGTGAAGAACTGCATAGGTACAGTAAGCACTTACACAGTTGTTATCATTGTTGCAGAGGATTGTGGTTATGCAGTCTATATGTCGATTGACAGTTTGTTTCTTGCCGGAATTGTTTTTTTTTAAACTAAGTGTGATTTAAGTCGCGTTCACACGGTCATGGTCTGGCTCGAGCCAAATGGGCCAGATTTGGCTCGGGCCAAATTTGGCTCGGGCCGGTTTGAGTCGGAGCGTTCAGACATACACAAGTGAATACTGTCTGTCAAATTCAAATTCAAATTCAAATCAATTTTATTGCACAAATATCTCACAGATACTTTGGCAGTATGTCGCGAGATGGCGTTGTTTACGATTCAGAGTGTTTACTTACGTTCCGAGTTTAATTATCAATCTTGAAAACGTGCATCCTGATCAAATTTTTCGAATTTTTATACTGTTTTGGACTTTATTTCGTCGAAGACGAAGTACACGTTCGACACTCGCGGCATCTACCGCTCAACCGATTCTACCGCTCGCCGAAAGCTGGTGCTA